TGGTACGTGTTCAGGTTGTACTCTGCTTAAGTCGTATTTCCCACAGTACCTGTGTTTGTGTCTGTATTTATTTGAATCTCTTCTATGAGCAACAGTGGGAGGATTTACCTTTAGTTAACTGAGCATTATGCTACTCAAACACCAGTTCTTTCATCCATTCGTAGTTTCTGTTTTCCATATACTAACTAGTGTCCTATCTATGACTAGGTATCTCCCACTTGTGTTCTAAAACATAAAAAGCATAATATGTGTTTAAAATGATTTAATACTTTGGGAAGTTTGGTACTAACCTGTTGGTTTGGTGTCTCCAGATGTTGCTCCAGAGGCTCCCCCCAGCAGAGCACCGCAGGTCATTCTGCACCCTGTCCTGTCTGAGCCAGGGTGAGTAGAAACCATCACACAGCGAGTTTGAACTGCATTTAAAGAGAGTACCACAGATCTTCTCTCTGTCTGTCCATCTTCCTCTCATCTGCATGCTTTCTCCCTCTTCTTTCTCTTTCTATCTGTGGCTGCTGGTCAGAGGCCAAGTCAAACTTATTGGAGCACGGATATTTGGGTGACAATTTCAATGCGAGGGACGACATGACGATTACTCAGAGACTAATGTTAGCATGGCCTTTAGTTCACGCTACACTTGGGATGCCAAGTGGATTTTCACTGGCTCTTTGAGGAAGCCAGTGGTCATGGGGAAACAACCGGAAGAGGAGGATTAGTGATGAGATGCCTTTCGACCCAGATGTTAATTAGATTAGGATCTCAATCTATCACAAGAAACAGACGCAGGAGAACCTCCATCTATAGCCAGATGGTCAGTTGTGATGAAATACCCTTGGACTGTAATGGATTAATCAATAGCTGATAATGCCAGGGTTCATTTTATTCCTTTTTAAATATCAACATGATCTCTGAGACAGGGAAAAGCAAGCGATACGACGTCATGAACTGATGTGTGAGGAGCTGTTCTGTGCATGTCACACATCTGCATTTTAATGTAAGTCGTCGTCTTGTGGCCACATTCCTGTTGCAGCTGCCAGCTTTGAGATAAATGAAAAGTAAGAAGCAATTTTGTGGAAATAATAGGAATCAGTGGATAATGCGGGACTACAAATACGGCTCCATACGTGTTTGAATAGAACAGGGGCTGTTTGAGGTTTACATTCATTATCATAATCATTATAATGTAACACAAAAGATTATTTCCTGTATCTTGAGACCACATTCAGCCATCGAACTGGAAAACTTTGCAGTCGGTTTTGCATAAATGCGTGCATTTTTGACCGGAGAGGATCCGATTAATACGGGCTCCAAAACTTCTGCATGTGCACATCTGGGGCTGATTGAGCTGCAGCTGTGCAGCCAGTGGATCACTTTGTCATTTTTATTGCAATATACTGTAAAAAGGCTTTTGTAAATATACTGTATGTACTTACTGGGTGGGTGGACACATAGAAAGATGGTTGAGGCCAAGGTTTTTAGCAAATTGATGTAAAATCTCACCATGAAACATCGATTGTTTTGTTGTCAAGCCTGAAACAATCACAACTCCTTTGGGTCTGTCACAGCCAAAACCTTGAATTTAATCGTTCTTTTTTTTTGCCGACACAACAAGCATAGTTTAACCTGTATCAAAATGATGATGTCAGTACAGCAGAAAAACTTTTTTTCTTTGGCCATGTTTTAGCTTTTAACAACAGAAACAGTCTTTAAATGAATATATTGTCAGATCAAGCTAGTAGAAGAATCATCCGCTTTTGTTTCCTTCTGGGGGAATATCTTGGATTTTTTCCCATTAAAGGATGTAGAGGGACGTCTTGTATGGCATTTTTATGCATTCTTTGTGTCCTAAAATTCTGTTTATGCCTTGAGAAAAATGATTTCAGGGCCAACTTGAAGGATATTATCAAAAGGCATGAGGTTTTTACATGAACTCCACTGCTTAAAGGAGTGCTCTTGTTTATGGCAGCAGTCTGACTTGTTTGAGCGAAATATGAATTTCTTCCGCTGGAATCGGTCAATAAAAGCATCTCAGCATTCACCTTTGCTTCCGGAGAGCTAAGGAAATGCATACACTTCTATTTATGCCTGCTTTGGGCAGTCACGTGCCGCTAAATGTATAAAAATCTCTTTAAAAAGCGGTGAAAACACACAACTTAAAGCCTTGTGTTTCTAAACTCCTTCCAGTTGCTCTATCTGCACGAGCACAATTACACTGTTTTACTATTTCTCCCTTTTTCTCACGCTCACACGGCCCTTCTCTGCCTTTTGACGAATGTGAATACATTAGCGCAGTTGCACAATCCATATTCCTCTGATTTAATTAAGGCTATTGTCCCTCCTTACTCACATCTTTGTATGCTCTTGCAGTGGCAGCTGGCAGATTTCTCCAGCCTTAATGGCCTCATCCCAGGGTTAATGAGGGCCTGTTTCAGACCCCAACACCCTGCAGGATTCCCTCATTAGAGCAGAAATCGAACCGGTGGTAGGGGCCCTTGGCGCCACAGGAATCACATTATTTTATACGCTGCCTCACCTGTGGTCTCTGCCCGGAGTCCGGGAGTTGCTTTGCGAACCGGTGTTAATATACCACAGAAAGGTTGTGAGAGGTTACACACTGATGTTACACAGCCAGTTATGTGCACAGAGGTGGACGGGTTGAATGAGGGAAATGGGTTCGTTTATGTCGCGCCACTGGCACCCCCTGTGTAGGTCCATTCTTGGGGTCAGAAATTAATAGGGGCTCAGGGTGCAAACACGATTTGAAGTTTCACAAAATCTGTGAAATTAAAAATGAGAATCAATGAAGGCTGCCAGTAATTAGGATTGTCCCCTCTTACATTCATCCATTCACATTTTTAGTCTTGGAATCAAGGTGCTTTTGCCACTTGTGGAGCCATCAGAGGCGATTTGCTCCATAAAAGCCTGTCTTTGGGTCTTTCCAGTGTAATCTGGACAAGAAAATAACTGAGAAACAAAAGCCTGGAAATGCAAGATAATGCAATAAAAATCAACCAAAAAGGTAAACACAATTTTATAATAATCAAATAAGGTTTGGCAACGGAAAACTGAGCAAATGTAATAGAGGTACCGTGAAAATCGCTCATCTCATAGTCATTGAAATGGCCTCAATAAAGGACCTTGTGTGTAACAAAGGGGATTCTGCATCAACAAGATGTCTCGTCGCTGGTGTAAGCGGACTGAAAAGGTTACACAAACTAAGGTGTCAGACAGCTGTGATATCAAGCCACGCCGCTGAGGTCACAATACTCTTTGCAGCATATTTATTCCATTGTGCAGAAGTGCTCTTGTGCACGAAAGGGATCACTGAGCTCAACGGCAAATATTTCGGTCTCCTCAGAGTCTTCGTCGGCGCTCACAGATTCGGGGTTGCGGACCTCGTAAAGGTATCAGACACAGGTGCAATCAATGAGTAATCTGCTCGGTTGAGTAGAAGGAGAAAGAGCTGCAGCAGAACAGGCAACGTTTGGATGTAATGAACATTTACTGAAGTGGCTGCTGTCATTATAACACACAGCAAGACCTCAATTGTGTTTTAAATTGTAACTCTGCAATAATATATGACCACAACAAAAATATATATCAGGATTAACTGTTCTAGAACAGAATCAATGCCTCCACTTTTTCAAAATTCAGTGCAGTGACAATACGACATATTCCATCAAGCAAATTAATACGCAGCCACAAAAGTCCCAGTTAGACCTCTGAACTCGAGCAGTTTCTACGTGTTTTTTGTTTTTCCTTTTTTTGCTCATCAGTTTTACTGCAATATAAAATCTTGCACCTCTGTGGAAAAAGCACATTTATGGCTACAAGGAAATACGAGTCAGAAAAAGTATTTTGTTCAACATAAAATAGTTATAATGCCATAAATAATAATTTTAAAAAAGGAAACAAAAAAAAGAGTCGAGTTACTGATAGCTTCACAGTTGGAGTGGAGTGCAGAATTTATTATTATTTTTTTTTCAGAATGTGGTTTCTGCAAAACTTTATTTTTGCCATTTTAACAATGAAACTTGTATAAAGTAATTTTGACCGAAGGTTTGGTTTATTTGCAACATGGGGAAGTGGAAAATCCATCAATTCTTTCAGTTTTTACAGTTTCTGGTGATAATAAATGGTCTAAATCTTGGCTGATTTTTTATTTTTTATTTTTTTAATATAGATAATGTGCCTTTTAAACCCACTGGTGGGTTTTGGGATTCCAGTTGAAGCTTTACCACCAAATTAGTGCAAATTACTTAAAAATCAAAACATCATTTCAAGGGTTTGGTCAAAGTCTGTTTACTTGCTGCACCCCCATCGTGCATGACATCAACATGCAGCTTTTTAAATGGGATTATTATTATTATTATTATCCTTTGCACAGTTCAAGTGGTTTACACTATTTACTATGTAATCTAAGCACATTCTCAGAGGAACAACTTCCTGCACATTGTGAATATTTCTACTTCACTTTTATACTGTGGGTTTGCTCCACTTGCTTTTTATTTGTCTTGTAACACTCACTGCTTATTTAACCTGCAACACTTGCTTCTTTTTCAAAACAAACTTTTATCCTTCTTTGAAATGTCTCTACCCGTCAGCGTCCCACTGTTTTACACCAAAACACCAAGTCAGATTCCTGCTTTAAAAAAAAACAACAAAAAACCCAACAAATTCTGATTCTGAAGAAAAGAAACCTCCAGAGCAAGAGTCACAGAATCTGACAAATCTGATAAGTCAGTTAGGGCTGATGACTGCTAGTTTTAGAAAAATAAAACCTGGAAACCTCCTTTGCCCACGCCTCATCTCTGCCTCAGTTCTGCTGGCGGCTGACGGGTACATTAACCACCACCAGCATAACACACTTTTATTTCACAATCACTAGTCCCAGAGAGCTCAGCAGCTTTCTAAGGAAAACATCACAGTTATCCTCAATCACTCTTTTTAGACATATCACTGCCACATTGTGAGGATCCATATGATCATTTATCTTCTATTAAGACAATAAAGAACCTAAATGCTGTTTAAAAAGCTGCATTATGGGCGCCGCTATAGCTCACCTGGTTGAGCTGGTGTCCCATGTGCAGGGCTACAGTCCTGATGTGGAGGTCATGAGTTTGAATCCCGTTCATGACCCTTTTCCACATGTCCTCCCCCCATTCTTCTTCCCTACTTTCCTGTTTCTCTATCACTAACACTATCCAATAAAGGCACAAAGGCCAAAAAAATAACTTAAAAAAAACCAAACAAACCTGAATTATGTGCAAAAGGAGGTCGTCTTTGTTTACGTTTTTCCTCGTGGATTAATTTCATCTTCTTTTTGCTTTTTAGGAACGAGGGCAACCCTTTACTTCAAATCGAAGTCGAACCCACATCAGACGTGAGTCCTTCCTTTGATTCTCAAGTGCAGCCTTTGTGATGCTTTCGTTGTACCTGAATGTTGGTTTTTCACTCATCGCGTTGCTTTACTTCTCCTTGTTTTGTTTTTTTTGTGTCAGTAATCAGTCAGTGTGAAATTACTTGTGAATCCAAATGAAGACAAAACGCAGCTCTCGCCGTCACTTGTCGCAGTCATTTGCGTTGTTCTCTCATTTAGCTTAATTTGCCTCGGCTCTCTGGGGAGCCTCCAGGTGAGTTATGCGTCAAAAGCGGCAAACGGGGGGGAAAGAGGCATCTTCGCCGCTCGTCATCGCTGTTTCTATAACAATGATATATTTTGAGAAAATGTGATGCAGATTGCCTTGAATGAAATTCCAGCAGGCATCTCTGAATGGGTCATTTTCACTGTTGCGGTACATAATATTTAAAATCAAATCAGAATAAATCTTTTGTATTTATTTCTTTTTTTTTTTGCCTCTGGTTGTTCTCTCTTTTCATAACTCTCTATCTTTTATTGGTAATTGTCCAAACAGCAGTCAGTATTTCCAGTGTGCACAGCCAAAGAAAAAAAAAATATTTATATGAAAGCAACCTCTGTGTATTTTTCATGTGTGTCAGAGCATTTTTATGATTAAAAGTGTGCTGAGTACATATTTGCTGTTGCCAGAAACACAAAAGCTAAAATACGATACTCCTCCTAAGGTATATATTTGTATTTGATGGATATTTTTACACTACTGTGCAACTTTGGATGCCAGAAAGGATCTAAAGTTCTGCAAAAAATAAATAAATAAAAAGGCACTGGAATGCATGAAGAACTCCTTTCTAATGTATTTTAAAGAAGGTTGTAGTAAATTGTAATTATCTGCTGAATGTCAAAATATGTGCATTCCATATCTTGGAGGAATATTCTAACACCATATCTTTGATGCATGTAAGAGCATTTTAATCACTTGTCAAATGCATGCTTACGACTACTAAAGCACGGTTTAATCTGCTTCATCACAGAACGAGGAGGGCAACGACGAGGACTCCGGCGACGAGTTCGAGGAGATGAACCTGTCGCTCCTGTCGGCTCGCAACTTCCCGCGCAAGGCCAGCCAGACCAGCATCTTCCTGCAGGAGTGGGACATCCCCTTCGAGCAGCTGGAGATCGGAGAGATGATCGGCAAGGGTCGCTTCGGCAAGGTTTTCCACGGCCGGTGGCACGGCGAGGTGGCCATCCGCCTGATCGACATCGAGCGCGACAACGAGGACCAGCTGAAGGCCTTCAAACGCGAGGTGATGGCCTACCGCAACACCCGCCACGAGAACGTGGTGCTGTTCATGGGGGCCTGCATGAGCCCGCCGCATCTGGCCATCATCACCAGGTGAGAGTTAACGGATTGTGTTGCACAGAAAGCTGGGAGGTACAGGTGGTGTAGATTGAACTTTAGCACGACATTAAACAACATTTTGGGTCAATTCACTCATCAAATTTTGTTTAATATGTACTATATGCAAACTTTACGGTATCCTGTGTTTCTGTTTAGTACAGAAATAAACATCCAGTGCCTAGAACACATTTAAAACACACTTTGAAACACTTTAACCCTTTGAACCCCAAACAGTTTCTTGTCATTTTTTGCTCCAGTCACCTTTGTTCTGCTGTGGACTCATTTTATGCTGCAGCTCTATGGAAAGCACAACAATGTCTACAAGGAGAGAGAGAACATGGAAATGTCTTCAGAGTTATTATGTAATTAATCATGCAAAATGAAAAAACGGAGGTTGATTTTTTAAAATGTATTTATTAAAAAAAAAAAAAAAAAAATCCCAAAACAAGAATTGTTGTGCACAATATATGAATTAATATGTATTTTTAAAACATTTTTATTTGTTCCCATAGTCAGTATAATACAGCCTGCAGTTCCTTCAGCTAAAAAGTCCCTGAATTATTGACATGTGACTGCGGGTCCAAGCTGAGTCACTGATCGCTTCACAGCTGCAAGGAGTGCAGATTTGTTACTTTTTCTTTACAAAATGTGTTTTTTGCAAATGCTTTGTTTTTATTTTGGCAAAATTGAAATGAAACATTTATACAGAAATTTTGACCAGAATTTAAATTTTTAAATTTTTCCAAGTGTCCAAAGATGTGGCCATCCATCCATTACCTATACACCACTTAATCCTCACTAGGGTCATGGGGGGCTGGAGTCTATCCCAGCTGACTCAGGGTGAAGGCAGGTTCACCTGGACAGGTAACCAGTCTATCACAGGGCTACACTTAGAGACAGACAACCAAGCACACTCACATTCACACCTACGGACAATTTAGAATCACCAATTAACCTCAACATGTTTTTGGACTGTGTGGGAGGAAGCTGGAGAACCCGGAGAGAACCCACGCTGCACGGGGAGAACATGGAGACTCCACGCAGAAAGATCCCAGATGTCCTCACCGGGGGTCTTCTAGCTGCGAGGTGACAGTGCTAACCACCGAGCCACCGTGCAGCCCAGAGATGTTACCAATACTGAAAAATAAAACAACCACATGCTGGAGATATTTTTCATTTGTTTCCACACTTTTCTCTTGTCTGGTCTGCATAACACAAGCTGCAGTTCAGCCATAAAACTCCACTAATGACTTCATGCTTCAAGTTTTTACTTTTTAACAGAATCTGGTTCGAGTAAATGGTACAATTTTGGCTTCTGTCTTCTTCTTTTTTTTCTTTTTTTTAAATGAGACACTTGAACATAGTAATTTTGATGAATTATCATCATTTTAAGCTTGAATTTGGTTCTGACGGTCTGAACATCACAGATGAATAGTTCAAAGACCATCAGAAATCTGAAAATATTACGATTCAATCTCTCTTTTTTTGGTCTTTCGTGGTTTTGATAAGTGATGCAATTTTGGGCAATTTTCAAAACTGACTTTGGGGTTCGGAGGGTTAATCAAACTGTGCCACAATGAAGAAATAATACTGTTTCTCCTCCGTTTGCAGTTTATGTTTTATTTTTTTTCCAAAGCACCTGTAGTTCCCTTGATAATTGCACCGACAACAGTGTCTATCAGCAGCGCACTCAAAAATGAAGCATATTTTAGTATGCATCGTGACTCTTGAGGAGAGTTTTCCAGTTTTGAAGTGTGAACATGCAGCTAATGTTACATAAAGAAGGCAATAAAAAACAAAACACCATGCTGTAAAACAAATGAAAAGTCTATTGCAACTGTAAAAAGCAGTTCAGCACAGAGAGAATACAGGAATATTCACAGATGTATCTGCAGGAAAAACACAAGTGGAATCTCACCAATGCAAGAGTGACTACGCTGCAGGAATATATTTTCTTACAAATATAGTTATTTCTCAAGTAGTCACACAAGTAGATTAACTGTATTTTTACGTTGTGACTGTTTAAGTAGCAGGAATATCTGTATCGTATGAAATATTGCAACAGAAATTGAAATAACCATGTTTTAACTGTACAAAGTTGTACAAAAGTGACACATTTGCATTGCATAATAAGCAGAAAGTTGGGAGTTTATTGCCAAATGCTTTTGATTAACACTGTATACAGAACAGAAAAGCATGCACTGATCAAAAATGGTGAAAATAGCTTAAAATAGTTAGTTTAAAAATAAAAGTAGGTGCTCTAGATTAAGAGAAACTGGAGATGAATCTGAAAAAATATCGTTTAAAAAGGGCATTTTCATTAGTTTCCTGTCATCTCTTCATCACTTCTTTCTCACTGAACCTCCTGAAAGTGTTCACGGTCAGCGTTGCCCGTGAACCCGTGGCTTGGCCGTCTCCACAGTCGGTCCTCGTCCTGTGGCACAGATCCGGCCCCCTATGGGACAACGTGTTTAGACCAGCTGAGAATAAAACATGAGGAGGTTGTGATTAGAACAGGCTGCTACTGCCACTGAATAGACAAGCCACCCACACCTCACAGCAATGGCGCATTTGTCTCGAATTCCAGCTTGACAGCAGATAAAGCGAGCATGCAGGGTCGGAGTGAGTGATAGTTCTCACCTAGCGAACACCTTTAATTATCTCAGGGATTAGCATTCACACTTTGGCAGTATTTAGTGAATATTTTCTCACTTATTAAGAAGACAGGGTTTCGTTTTTTGTTAAAGAGCATCACAAGGAGTGTGCTCATTAAGCAGCAGAGCTAATATGAAAATTGTATATTTGCATCTCTCCTGGAAAAAAACAAAATGACCTTTTTATTTTGTTTCTTTTCTGTTTTGAAAAGAAAAAAGAGAGATTTAAAGCTTTTAAAATGCTTTAGGATAAACGTGTAAAACATGACTCCATTTCCGTCACGTTTACTGCGTGGCACGTTTCAAATAACCGATTGTATGATTTTTGAGACGCGTGATTGGACTGGATGCCAGCTGAAATTGCTGTGAGTGCAGGGGAGCTGACAGATGAGCTGGCTGCTTCTCAGAAATCCTCGGTGCTGATTGTTGAAAATAATATCAAAATGTCAGTGCAACAGGTGGCTTTGTTTTTCTCCAATACTCTCCTGCTTCGATCAAATTAATGAAAGAAAAAAAAAAAAGAAAAAACGTGCAACGTGACACAGCCGTAAAAATTACACCAAAACGAGGCGTTGTTGGTTTATTAAGGATGACGGGTTTCGGGTTGCATTAAGTGGGAACATAAATATTGATTGCTTCTTTGTTCTTCGATTGTTTCCTGTGTCACGACTGACTGCGGATTGATTTTTGCCGAGCACGGGGTCATCTGTGATGTTTCCTGCAGGGTTTTTATCCACGTAAATGGTGTAATTACTCCATTTTAAAGTACAGAGGTGATGTTCAGGATTGCTTTTCTTGGTTTCCTTGTCTATATAAAGGCTGCATTTCTATGTCGAGCGAGAAAGAAAGAAAAAAAGGGGGGGAGGGGGACAGCTACTAAAAAATGTGGCTGCTGTCAGGTTGTTGTTCAGGATGAATATGCATGAACCGTTGGCTTCAGGTGCTTTGGTGGTCACCTGCATGGCACAGTCGGGGTGGAAGGCTTCGAGTGTGAGGCGGGGGGTGGCTGTAGAGCTGTCTATTAACGGCGCCCTTCCAGAAATGTGACACAGCCGAGCCAAAACGCAGCGAAACAGCTTCACCCCGGCACACAGTGGGCTCACGTTTCACTCCACGGCGAAGACATTTTATCCTCCGACAACATCTCAAACTGCGCTAACTCGCTGATTCGCTCCCCTTCGTGAACTTTTCGGGAAAACGTGTGTTTTTTTGTTTTTTGGGTTAAAAGTGAGGCAAAACACATTGACCATTTAAAAAAGGGAGCATTCAAGAAGCTATTACGCTGAACGCTGCCATTTGCGGGAATGTGTCAGTGTTACAGGTGGAATCCAGAATCCAGGGGCAGATTTTTTTTTAAAGGTTAGTTGAAATTTTGGAATTAAAATGAAGGGTCTCAGAAAGGAGAAATTGTAGTCCTGTTTGTGGGCATCCATCCATCCGTCCATCCATCCATCCATCCATCCATCCATCCATCCATCCGTCCACTTTCTCCATCCATCCATCCATCCATCC